ACTCTCCCCCTCACCATTCTCCCCCTCACCACTCTCTCTCCCTCACACTCTCTCCCCTCACCACTCTCCCCCTCACCACCTCCCCCTCACCACTCTCTCCCCTCACCACTCTCCCCCTCACCACTCTCTCCCTCACCACTCTCCCCTCACCACTCTCCCCCTCACCACTCTCCCCCGTCACCACTCTCCCCCTCACCACTCTCTCCCTCACCACCTCCTCCCCTCACCACTCTCCCCTCACCACTCCTCTCACCTCACCACTCTCCCCCTCACCACTCTCCCTCCTCACCACTCTCCCCCTCACCACTCTCCTCCCTCACCACTCTCTCCCCTCACCACTCTCCCCTCACCACTCTCTCCCTCACCACTCTCCCCTCACCTCTCCCCCTACCACTCTCCCCCCTCACCACTCTCCCCCTCACCCCTCTCCCCCTCACCACTCTCCTCCCTCACCACTCTCCCCCTCACCACTCTCCCCTCACCACTCTCCCCTCACCACTCTCCCCCTCACCACTCTCCCCTCACCACTCTCTCCCTCACCACTCTCTCCCTCACCACTCTCTTCCTCCCACTCTCCCCCTCACCACTCTCCCCCTCACCACTCTCCCCCACCACTTCTCCCCCTCACCACTCTCCCCCCTCACCACCACTCTCTCCCTCACCACTCTCTCCCTCACCACTCTCTCCCTCACCACTCTCCCCCTCACCACTCTCCCCCTCACCACTCTCTCCCTCACCACTCTCCCCCTCACCACTCTCCCCCTCACCACTCTCCCCCTCACCTCTCTCCCCCTCACCACTCTCCCCCTCACCACTCTCCCCCTCACCACTCTCCCCCTCACCACTCTCCCCTCACCACTCTCCCCCTCACCACTCTCCCCCTCACCACTCTCCCCCTCACCACTCTCTCCCTCACCACTCTCTCCCTCACCACTATCTCCCCTCACCACTCTCCCCTCACCACGCTCGCCCTCACCACGCCTCCCCCTCACCACTCTTCGTTCACCTCACCAATCTCCTCTCTCCCCTCACCACTCTCCCTCCCCCTCACCACTCTCTTATGCATCCCTCACCAACTCTCCCCTCACCATCTCTCTCCTCATCCACTTCTCCCCCTTCACCACGCGCCCTCTCACCACTCTCCCCCGTGTCACCACCACTCTCCTCACCCTCTCTCCCTCACCACTCTCCCCCCTCACCACTCTCCCCCTCACCACTCTCCCCCTCACACTCTCCCCCTCACCACTCTCCCCCTCACCACTCTGCACAGCATGGACGGGTTGTGCTTTTTCTGTAGGATTTTATTGTTTGCGTACGTGATGTTCAGATTTGTGTACTATGAATTTTAGGTGCATCTTGTAATTTGATTGTTTGTTGCGGATGAACCCAAATCAACAGCCGAATGGCTCACGGGGTAAATCCTAATAAATGAAACTGAAACTGGTGTTGCACCTGAAACGTCGTGATTTATTTTAATACCTACGTGACATTAAGGACAGAACCACAATATGGATTCCTGCAGTCACGAAAGCTTAAAATCAAGGTCACAATGTGGGCTGATTAGTTATTTTGCTTTCATTCTTCACCGCTCTACCAAGATACATGCATGAGAAGACTCAGGATGCCATGACGTTCATCAGCCAATATTCCACGCCCCATCTCTTCATCACCTTCACTTGCAATCCCAAATGAAAGGAGATACAGGTTTACCTTTATCAAAACCAAAAGCCACCAGACAGACATGACATCTTAGCAAGGGTCTTAAAACTCAAAGTTTATGACCTCATCATGCTTATTACGACCAATGAAGGCGGCGTCTTTGGATAGTGCCAAAAACGTGAGTGAGTGGGTAGGTGGGTAGGTAAGTGAGTGGGTGAGTGTGTGGGTGGGTGAGTGAGTAGGTGGGTGGGTAAGTGAGTGGGTGAGTGGGTAGGTGGGTAGGTAAGTGAGTGTGTGGGTGGGTGAGTGAGCAGGTGGGTGAGTGAGTAGGTGGGTGAGTGGGTGGGTGAGTGGGTAGGTAAGTGAGTGGGTGGGTGAGTGAGTGAGCAGGTGGTGAGTGAGTAGGTGGGTGAGTGGGTTGGTAGGTGGGTGTGTGGGTTGGTGTGTGGGTGAGTGAGTAGGTGGGTGAGTGGGTAGGTGGGTGGGTAAGTGAGTGTGTGGGTGGGTGAGTGAGTGAGTAGGTGGGTGAGTGAGTAGGTGGGTGAGTGGCTTGGTAGGTGGGTGTGTGGGTTGGTGTGTGGGTGGGTCAGTAGGTGGGTGAGTGGGTAGGTGGGTGGGTAAGTGTGTGGGTGGGTTGGTAGGTGGGTGTGTGGGTTGGTGGGTAGGTAAGTGAGTGGGTGGGTGGGTGAGTGAGTGAGCAGGTGGTGAGTGAGTAGGTGGGTGAGTGGGTTGGTAGGTGGGTGTGTGGGTTGGTGTGTGGGTGATTGAGTGAGTAGGTGGGTGAGTGAGTGAGTGTGTGGGTGGGTTGGTAGGTGGGTGAGTGGGTAGGTGGGTAGGTCAGTGAGTGGGTGGGTGAGTGAGTGAGCAGGTGGTGAGTGAGTAGGTGGGTGAGTGGGTTGGTAGGTGGGTGTGTGGGTTGGTGTGTGGGTGAGTGAGTGAGTAGGTGGGTGAGTGGGTAGGTGGGTGGGTAAGTGAGTGTGTGGGTGGGTGAGTGAGTGAGTAGGTGGGTGAGTGAGTAGGTGGGTGAGTGGGTTGGTAGGTGGGTGTGTGGGTTGGTGTGTGGGTGAGTGAGTGAGTAGGTGGGTGAGTGGGTAGGTGGGTAGGTCAGTGAGTGGGTGGGTGAGTGAGTGAGCAGGTGGTGAGTGAGTAGGTGGGTGAGTGGGTGAGTGAGTGAGCAGGTGGGTGACTGAGTAGGTGGGTGAGTGGGTAGGTGGGTGAGTGGGTAGGTGGGTGGGTAAGTGAGTGTGTGGGTGGGTGAGTGAGTGAGTAGGTGGGTGAGTGAGTAGGGGGGTGAGTGGGTTGGTAGGTGGGTGTGTGGGCTGGTGTGTGGCTGGGTGAGTGAGTAGGTGGGTGAGTGGGTAGGTGGGTGAGTGGGTAGGGGAGTGGGTAAGTGAGTGTGTGGGTGGGTGAGTGAGTGAGTAGGTGGGTGAGTGGGTAGGTGGGTGAGTGGGTAAGTGAGTGTGTGGGTGGGTGAGTGAGTGAGTAGGTGGGTGAGTGGGTAGGTGGGTGAGTGGGTGGGTGGGTGAGTGAGTGAGTAGGTGAGTGAGTGAGTAGGTGGGTGAGTGGGTAGGTGGGTGAGTGGGTAGGGGAGTGAGTAGGTGGGTGAGTGGGTAGGTGGGTGAGTGGGTAGGTGGGTGGGTAAGTGAGTGTGTGGGTGGGTGAGTGAGTGAGTAGGTGGGTGAGTGGGTAGGGGAGTGGGTGAGTAGGTGGGTGAGTAGGTGGGTGAGTGGGTAGGTGGGTAGGTGAGTGAGTAGGTAGGGGAGTGGGTGAGTAGGTGGGTGAGTGGGTAGGTGGGTGAGTGGGTGGGTGAGTGAGTAGGTGGGTGAGTGGGTAGGGGAGTGGGTAGGGGAGTGGGTGCCAAAAACGTCGTCTTCCTCATACTCACATTTCGGTCTGCATGAGGGAAACAATGAATGCAAGACACATTGACACATGTATCAGTGCTGAGCTCCCTCACCCCCATCAAGACGCTGCCCTTTGTCTACGTGGTCTGCAACCAAATGGCCCATGGCCCATGTGGCCAGTTCTATCCAAATGCGCCATGAATGCAAGACCAAAGGTGCACCAAGTGGTATCCATAGAACTACTTGAAAGATGCTCAGTCGGCACATGATGGCTATCCTTCTATATCGTCACAGAAATACTGAGCGAGATGGATTTCAAACAACGCTCACACCTGCCACTAATTCGCTAATGAAGGTTCACAACCGGTGGATCGTTCCCTACTGCCCTCTCCTGTGCAAGATCTTCCAGGCCCACTTTAATTTGAAATTCTGCTATTCTAAAATAAGCCATCCAATGTGTTTGCCAATACATCAACAAAGGCTCTGACATGGCTGTCTTTGACATACAAAACAGAGGGCCAAAGTGTGCATGAGCTCTAACAATTTTTTCAAAGAACATGCATAATCAACAATGACGTAATCAGCAACAATGACGTATTCAGCAACAATGACGTGATCAGCAACAATGACGTAATCTGCAACAATGACGTTCTCTGCAACAATGACGTATTCAGCAACAATGACGTAATTTGCTGAATTATTGGCTTCCCCATCCACGACCACCCCACCCACTCACCCACTCACTCACCCACCCACTCACCACTCACTTACCCACTCACTCACCCATTCACCGACTCACCCACTCACTCACCCACCCACTCACTCACCCACCCACTCACCCACTCACTCACCCACCCACCCACTCACTCACCCACTCACCCCACCCACTCACTCACCCACCCACTCACCCACTCACTCACCCACTCACTCCCACCCACCCACTCACCCACTCACTCACACACTCACCCATTCACTCACTCACCCACTTACTCACCCACTCACCCACCCACTCACCCACCCACCCACCCACTCACTCGCTCACCCCACCAACTCATCCACTCACTCACCCACCCACTCACCCACCCACCCACTCACTCACTCAACCCACTCACCCACCCACTCACTCACCCACTCACTCACACACACACTCACCCGCTCACCCACCCACTCACTCACCCACTCACTCACTCACCCACTCACCCACCCACTCACCCACCCACTCACTCACTCGCCCACTCACCCACCCACTCACCCACTCACTCACCCACCCACTCACTCACTCACTCACCCACTCACTCACCCAATCACCCACCCACTCACCCACCCACTCACTCACTCGCCCACTCACCCACCCACTCACCCACTCACTCACCCACCCACTCACCCACCCACTCACCCACTCACTCACTCACCCACTCGCCCACCCACTCACCCACTCGCCCACCCACTCACCCACTCGCCCACACCCATCCATGACGTCATGCCCCCCCCCCTCACGTCCCCTGCGTCCCCAGAGTTGCGGGGAACATCCTCCACTCGGTGAGTCGAGCGGCGTTCCGGCGTCACCCCTCGCTGACTCACAACAACAACAACGACGACGACCACGAGAATAAACTCGCAACGTGTGCTCTAAGTAATACTCGACCCCCCAAGGCTCTCCGTGATAATACGTCGGTGATTGAGTTCTCAATGCGGGAAGTCTGCCGAGTGGTGCAGCGTAGCCCCATTCGCTAGGCCGCACTCAAGCGCCTCGAATTGTTGATTTTAATTCGAGTTTAATTTTTATTGCTTTAAGCTATAACTTGAATGTATCGATTTTCAAATGTCGCGTTGGAATAGTTCGTTTATTGTCAGCTTACATTACGTTCTCGTCGATAATTGAATGCAACTTTTTTTATTTCAACGAATAAAAACGCGGCCCGGTTATTGCTCGTAAGCCTCGGTCTCGCCTGAATCTTGGCCGCAAATCGGGGCACGCGGCCCCGCATGGGAGAGCTCCGTGTAGACGCGTACTTTTATTATTTATATAACCAAGGCCACGTAAAAATTAACACCGTTTAACAATCGCATTGGTTTACAAGTACAGTTGTTTTCTACAAGTTGAATTACGTGTTAATAAATGACCACGCACCCACTCACTCACTCACCCACTCACTCACCCACTCACTCACCCACTCGCCTATCCACTCACCCACCCACTCGCCCATCCACTCACCCACTCACCCATTCACTCACCCACTCACTCATCCACCCACTCACCCACCCACTCACTCACCCACCCACCCACCCACTCACTCACCCCACCCACTCACCCACCCACTCACTCACCCACTCACTCACCCACTCACTCACCCACCCACTCACCCACCCACTCACTCACCCACCCACCCACCCACTCACTCACCCCACCCACTCACCCACCCACTTACCCACCCACTCACTCACCCACTCACCCACTCACTCACCCACCCACCCACCTACCCACTCACTCACCCACTCACCCACCCACTCACACCACCCACTCACCCCACCCACTCACCCACCCACTCACCCCACCCACCCACTCACTCACCCACTCACTCACCCACTCACTCATCCACTCACTCACCCACCCACTCACCCACTCACCCACTCACTCACCCCACCCACCCACTCACCCATTCACTCACTCACCCACTCACCCACCCACTCACCCCACCCACTCACTCACCCACCCACTCACCCACACCCACTCACCCACCCACTCACCCACCCACTCACCCACCCACTCATCCACACCCACTCACCCATCCACTCACCCACCCACTCACCCACTCACTCACTCACCCACTCACCCACCCACTCACTCACCCACTCACCCACTCACTCATCCACTCACCCACTCACTCACCCACCCCACCCACCCACCCACTCACTCACTCACTCACCCAATAAATCACTCACCCACTCACTCACCCACTCACTCACCCCACCCACTCACCCACCCACTCACCCATCCATTCACCCATCCACTCACCCACTCACTCACCCACGCGCTCACTCGCTCACCCACTCACTCACCCACTCACTCACCGACCCACCCACTCACTCACTCACCCACTCATCCACTCACCCACTCACCCACTCACTCACCCACTCACTCACCCACTCACTCACCCACCCACCCACACACCCACTCACCCACCCACCCACTCACCCACTCACTTACCCACTCACACACCCACTCACCAACTCACTCACCCACCCACTCACCCACCCACCCACTCACCCACCCACCCACCCACCCACCCACTCACTCACCCAGCCACCCACTCACTCACCCACCCACCCACCCACTCACTCACCCAACCACCCACTCACTCACCCACCCACCCACACACTCACTCACCCACCCACCCACCCACTCACCCACCCACCCACTCACCCACTCACTCACCCACTCACCCACTCACTCACCCACTCACACACCCACTCACCCACTCACTCACCCACTCACTCACTCACCCACCCACTCACTCACCCACTCACTCAACCACTCACTCAACCACTCATCCACTTACTAACCCACTCGCCCATCCACTCACTCACCCACTCATCCACTTACTCACCCACTCGCCCATCCACTCACCCACTCACCCATCCACTCACCCACTCACTCATCCACCCACTCACCCACCCACTCACTTGCTCACCCACCCACCCACTCACCCACCCACTCACTCACCCACTCACTCACCCCACCCACTCACCCACCCACTCACTCACTCACCCACTCACTCACCCACTTACCCACTCACCCACCCACTCACTCACCCACTCACTCACCCACTCACTCACCCACTCATCCACTCGCCCATCCACTCACCCACTCACCCATCCACTTACCCACTCACTCACTCATCCACCCACTCACCCACCCTCTCACTCGCTCACCTACTCACCCACCCACTCACCCACTCACTCACCCACTCACTTACCCACTCACCCACCCACCAACCCACTCACTCACTCACTCACCCACTCACTCACCCACCCACCCACCTACTCACTCACCCACTCACCCACCCACTCACTCACTCACTCACCCACTCACTCACCCACCCACCCACCCCCTCACTCACCCACCCACCCACTCACTCACTCACCCACTCACACTCACCCACTCACCCACCCATCCACTCACCCACTCACCCACTCACTCACCCACTCACCCACTCACCCACCCACTCACCCACTCACCCACCTACTCACTCACTCACCCACTCACTCACCCACCTACTCACTCATCCCACCCACTCACCCCACCCACTCACTCAACCCACCCACTCACCCACCCACTCACCCACTCACTCACCCACTCACTCACTCACCCACCCACCCACTCACTCACTCATCCACCCACTCACCCACCCACTCACTCACCCACTCACTCACCCACTCACCCACCCACCTACTCACTCACCCACTCACCCACCCACTCACCCACCCACTCACCCACTCACTCACCCACTCACTTACCCACTCACCCACCCACCCACCCACTCACTCACCCACTCACCCACTCACTCACCCACCCACCCACCTACTCACTCACCCACTCACCCACCCACTCACTCACCCACTCACACTCACCCACTCACCCACCCATCCACTCACCCACTCACTCACCCACTCACCCACTCACCCACCCACTCACCCACTCACCCACCTACTCACTCACTCACCCACTCACTCACCCACCTACTCATTCATCCCACCCACTCACCCCACCCACTCACTCAACCCACCCACTCACCCACCCACTCACCCACTCACTCACCCACTCACTCACTCACCCACCCACCCACTCACTCACTCATCCACCCACTCACCCACCCACTCACTCACCCACTCAGTCACCCACTCACCCACCCACCTACTCACTCACCCACTCACTCACCCACCCACCCACTCGCCCACCCACTCCCCCCACTCACTCATCCACCCACTCACCCACCCACCCACTCACTCACCCACTCACCCACCCACCCACCTACTCACTCACTCACCCACTCACTCACCCACCCACTCACTTACCCACTCACCCACTCACTCACCCACCCACCTACTCACTCACCCACTCACCCACCCACCCAGTCACCCACCCACCCACTCACCCCACCCACTCACCCCACTCACTCACCCACTCACTCACCCACTCACTCACCCACTCACTCACTCACCCACTCACTCACCCACTCACCCACCCACCTACTCACTCACCCACTCACTCACCCACCCACTGCTATAAATTTTCACGAAATGAATCGCTTCGTTAGGCTACCATCTGTGGCCAGGTCGCTTCTGAAAAAGAGCCGGGTAGCTCAGCGGCCCTTTCCTGGTGAGAAAAGAGTTGAGTGTTTATGGCCTCGGAGCAGCGCTAGAAAATGGACAATTTGTAATGCGTGTAGTTTAATCGATCAGAATAGCTGGAACAATCCCCAATCCAAAATGCTTTCATAGATCCTAGACAACATACGTACATCTATCATCTCTTCTCCCGCCGTAATGATCGTGTCTCCTCGATGTGTGCGACGTTGCTACTTTAGCGAATCGGCGGCGTTGCGGTGGTGATAACAAAGGCTCAGCCTCTTAAGCCTCACCTTACCATATTAATAAAAAGTGTGCCGTACCTGGCCCTTCCCCCCTCTCCAACCATTATATATACGGAGTGGTAGCTCTTGCAATCTCTCATTTACTTGATACAGCTGTCGTGGCTGTGACGGTTCCACCTGAAGACGGAGGCTTGTGTTGCCTCCGAAACGTCGTGAATTTTTTAATTAGTTATATTTTACTTTTATTAATTTAAATGTTTTACCTACATGGTGACTTTACCGGAAAAACAAACCTAAGAGGTGATTACACCGTGCTGCAGTCTCTAAAAGCCGAGTTCAGTTGTGGACCTTGATGCCAACCAACAGCAGCACCCCCCTTGATTGGTGGTCATTGTCAGGCTGGGTCCTCACTGCGCTTCAGGCTAACCGACACGTCCCTGTGTGTCTCTGCAGTTGTCATCATCGTCGTCGTCGTCGTCGTCATCATGAGTGGCAGCCCCTCCACCTCCATCTCTTCAGCTTTGGGAGTTTGCGAGGAAGCTTTGGTCAGTGTTTGCGATTGCGTTCATGTCGCCGTGTGCTTACAATGCGTTTGAGACAATCGCTTTAGGCCGAGTGTTGTTTCGTGTTTGAGTGGGTTGTTGGGTGAACACAGCCTGGTGGTGTAAGTTATGGAATCTACATCATGATACCTCCTTTGCCAGTAGCAAGATATAGTAATAGGGGTTTACCCTTTTTATCTGGCAACACAACCGACACCTTTATACAAGGGATCGTGTTTGCAATGACCACAACACTTGCAGTCAAAATGCAAACGAAATAGAGACGACCCTGATAATGATATGCACTGTCCTTGAAATTGATTGGTCCACACCCGAGACGGCTTTCATTTTTATCACATTGGTATTTTAAATTAAATATGAAATTTTTTTTTTCCTAAAAAGTGGAAAATTTTGGGAAAAAAATTTTCCACGAAAATTAATTGTCACGCACAACGAGTCTGTGTGCAAAATGTCAGCTCGATTGGATCACGGGAAGTGGGTTAAAAAACGACCGAAATATTTGCACGGTCGTAAGCGCGCAAGCAAGCAAGCGAGTGAACTTAATATAAAGGATTTTAAAAAATGTAACTACGTGACGTTACCGAAAAATCCAAAGAGTATGAATCTTTGCACAGCAACGCGCGCATTGAGGGGTGTTGCTCACTCCTAATGGCTCGTGTGTGTGCGCGTTTGCTTTGCGTGTCTGCGCATGTGTGTGTGTGTGTGTGCGTGTGCGTTGAACTTCTTCCGCACCATACTTAGCCGACTGTGCGCTCACCGGAGATGCGCGTGTTCTTGGTGTCGGCGTGTCTCTTTTGTAACAAGCCGGCGAGCAGATAAAGTGTTGCGTGATTACGATTTGCGCAACGATTGCTTCGAGGGCGATTTCAATGCGGGGGTGACGTGACGACCGCCTCTCTCTCCGTCTGTCCCGCAGGCGGTGAGGCCTGTGCCTCTGCTGCTGCGTCTCTTGCGCTCTGTCGGTGCGACAGGCGACACGTTCACGCTGCCGCAGGTGAGATGCGGATGCTCGCTCGCGACGCCTGTGCCGAGGCGTGGGCGGTTTGCCCGCCGCTTTGCCTGGCATTGCCCCAAAATGATAATTGTTTTTTTAAAAATCCTTTATATTAAGTTCACTTGCTTGCGCGCTTACGACCGTGCAAATCTTTCGGTCGTTTTTTAACCCACTTCCCGTGATCCAATCGAGCTGACATTTTGCACACAGACTCGTTGTGCGTGACAATTTATTTTCGTGAAAAATTTTTTTTCAAAAATTTTACACTTTTTAGGAATTTTTTTATTATATTTAATTACCAATTGCTTAATGGTGGCAGGCAATCATCTGACCCATAGGTGGCAGCCATCTCAAGCCAGAGGACGAGAGGACTCTAGCCGCCACGCATATAAAGGATTTATAGCGAAAAACTTTGTTTTTACGGGTTAATTTTTACCCTTTTATCTGGCAACAAAACTGACACTTTTTTTACAAGGTGTCATGTTTGCATAGACCATAATACCTGCATTCGTAATGCAAACAAAAAACACAACTCTGATAATGTATGCACTGTCCTTGAAGTTGATTGGTCCACACCCAAAGCAGCTTTTCTGAGAGCCTAGTCTCACATGGTGTTGGACCAGATGACGCCAAAAGGCGCACAACTCACTCAAAAAGAGCGCACTGTCAGAGTATTGAGAGGTTGGAGGAGGCCTCTCAGTTGACGGAGGCATCCTCCCGCGCAGGTCTTCCATCACCTGGGCGGCTACATCAAGACGAAGCAACTCTACGACAAGCGGAGGCTACACATCGTGCACTGCAAGGGCGACCCTCTGGGGGAGCTGTTCGGCGTGGAGAGCTTCTCCCTCAAAGAGCCGAGGTGAGAAAGACCGGCGGCGTGTCGAGGAGTTTGTCAACCGAGGGTTGCGACGGTATGTACCACGGATGAACTGTGCGCTGTTGTGACCACTGGATCATCGGTCCTGTGGCGTGATGGGAGAGCTCATCTGATGGGCACAACTTTTCTAATTTGCCGTGTAAAATCTACCCTTGCGTTGTTGATTTTGTTTGTGCGACAGCTTGTGCTTCACCCCGAGCTCTCATACTCTGATGGTGCGTTGTCTTTGAGCTGTGCGCCTATTGGCGTCATCTGGTCCAACCCATGTGAGACTAGGCTCTAAGGAAAGCTGTCTCGGGTGTGGACCAATCAACTTCAAGGACAGTGCATACATTATCAGAGTTGTGTTTTTTGTTTGCATTATGACTGCAGGTATTGTGGTCTATGCAAACATGATTCCTTGTAAAAAAGGTGTCAGTTTTGTTGCCAGATAGAATGGTATATAAACAATTATCAGCTTGTGCTAATTTAGAATGTTCATTTCACACACATCCTGTAAAACAATTATGTAACTTAATTGTAATTGTACTATGATCAGTTTGAAAATGTGGCTGAGCCAACACAAAGAGTGTGTATTATTGAACATTGATTTATATCTGCCATATGTTTTTCCATTTCTCATATGACACCGTTTTTTCTCAGATGTTTCTATTTGATTGCTGTATTTCACGTGATTTGATTTGGTTTTGTCAGCTCGGGTTACCCAGGTGTCACCACCCTTGCGTATGAAACTAATCCCCGGACTATTGAGTTCTCACCTGGTGAAACAAATAAACTCTCGTTGTTTACAGGAAGTGTTATACTCGGTTTAATAGGTAAACCGGCATGTGCGTGAAATGGTTGTTCGGTAGCTTGCGTTCAATGATTGACTATCAGACGAACATGCGCACTTTAACCCTCAGTTGGAGTTGCAAACGGTGAATAAAATAGAATGTAACACGATGAATTGTCAAACATTGGTTCTTTCAGTAAAGTCACGTAGAAGGGAAATAATAAAATAAAAAAAATAAAATAAAAATAGAAATAACTAAATTAAATCACGAATTTTTAATATTTTATTTGTTCAAAGAAGCAAAGAGTATGGATTCTTGCAGTCACGCAAACTTCCACCCCAGCGTTCGTTCTCTCACAGACATCTCTCCTCTGTCTGCAGCTCGTCGCCCAGGTCGCTGGGCGCTCTCCTGGCCAAGGCGCTCGGCAGAGCCGCCACCGACAGACGCAAAGGTGGAGCCAGGCCCCGGCAAGGTAACGTAAAAGTTTAAAGGTAAAAACAACGAGCCTACCTTTACCCTACCATTTACCTTACCATAATATAATCACTCTACCCTTACCTTAGACCCTTTAGCAGGTAAGGTACAAGTTAAAATGTAATAGTAGTATCATCAGCAGTAGTAGTATCAGCAGTAGTAGTATCATCATCGGTAGTATCAGCAGTACTAATATCATCACCGGTAGTATCAGCAGTAGTAGTATCATCATCGGTAATATTAGTAATAGTATCATCAGCAGTAGTAGTAGTATCATCACCGGTAATATCAGCAGTAGTAGTATCATCATCGGTAATATTAGTAATAGTATCATCAGCAGTAGTAGTAGTATCATCACCGGTAGTATCATCAGTAGTAGTATCATCATCGGTAATATTAGTAGTAGTATCATCACCGGTAAAAAGCAACGAGCCTACCTTTACCCTACCTTTTACCCTTACCCCATACGAATTACCCGATTACAGGGTAATTACTGGGGAACTACTACACATGAACAAGGTTTATAACGGTAAATGCTATAGGTAGAGCGCTTTGTTCATGTAGAATACTCTCCATGATTCCAATTTTACACGCTTGTCGTTGTTGTTGTATCCTCAAATCTTGTAACTCAATTTTAACCCACTTCCCAATGTGGTATCGACTGCAAACTTGGTATACTTATGTCATACTGATGACAAAAATATATAATTTTTTGAACATTCTTTTTTATTTGTTAAGTTTCGGTTTGGGTCTAATTGTCCACAATCAACTGGCGTTGGCTGCAATCGGCCACGGTCCCTCACGTTGTGGCCACTTCCTGGAGTCGTGGAGTTCTGCCAGTACTCGTACATTTCATAAAAGCGTGTTTAAAAAAAAGTTTTAAAAAATATTACTTATTGAATAGAGGCCACAGACTGCTCCACGGAGCTTCTAGCGGTAAACAAGGCACCGTATTTACCGGGTAACACTTCGCGCTACCTTGACCCTACCGGGTAATTCTTCCGAACTACCTTTAACCCCTTTACCTTACCCCTTGGCATGTCGACACCTTTACCCGGCTACCCGTACCCAGCCGGGTACGGGTAGCCGGGTACCCGTTTGCGACCCTGGTGCGGCCGGGTACGGGTAGGCCGTGAGTCACTGGTGAGTAACCGTTTGTCACTCATTTCCCAACGTCTTGTCTCTTCTCACAATTCAAGTTCCTAGAATCAACCCACCCGCGCCTGCAACATGGCTCTATCCCAGAGGTCGCAATCGGGTACCCGATACCCGTACCCTACCCGTACCCGGCCGGGTACGGGTAGGGTACGGGTACGGCCGGGTACGGGTACGTGAAAGGAATCAAAACCCGTTTGCGACCTCTGCTGTCGCGGTGCTCACGTATCGGTGCGCGTGTCGTTCTGCGGCATGCAGATTACGCGGCGGGAGCCGTGAAGGGAAGCTCATTGGCGACGGCCGACGGAGACAAGCGGCAGGTGAGTTTGGCGGTGGCGTTACGAGCACGTCGGAGCGCGCGTGCGCTCGCGCGTGCGGCCGGTGCGAGCGTGGGGATCGGTGGCCCACACACGCTTTGATTGACTTGTCCGTGTTTTTCATAAAAGTAAGTCTCTCACAGCAGCGTAGCTACGCACAGCCTCCTCACCCAGCCCCTCCCCATCCTCCCACCCAGCCCCACCCAGCCCCACCCTCTCCTCTCCACCCAGCCCCACCCCTCTCCCACCCCCCACCCAGCCCCACCCTCCCCACCCCACCCAGCACCTCCCCATCCTCCCCACCCCACCCGGCCCCACCCCTCCCATTCTTGCATGCACGACTGACGGACGGACACAATAATCTGTGGGCTGGGTGGAACCAGGTGGTTTTTACCATTGTAACCGTCGACTCTGCTCATCGTGTCCGTAGCCCAGAGCAAGTTGTGGTCAGTCCCAACAGGAACCGCAACGAGGAGGAGGAGACGGACACGAGGAGGAGGAGGAGGGCGTTGACGACGATGTCAAAACGAAGACGTCGTCGGACACCGTCTCCCCCGCTCCCTCGGCTCCCGCGAGCTCTGACCACGACATCAGCAGCAGCAGTAGCGGCAGCAGCAGCAGCAGCGGCAGCAGCAGCAGCGACGCCAACGCCGCGTGCCTCGTGTGCCTCGTGTGCCAGCACCGGCCCAGGACCTGCACGCTCGTGCACGGAGAGACGGGCCACCTGGTCACGTGCTGCGCGTGCGCCAAGAAGCTAAAGCGCCGCAACGAGCCTTGCCCCGCGTGCGGCAGGCCCGTCCACGCCGTCGTCAGGACGTACCTGCGGTGAGAGAGACGCCAGCTGACGTCACCGTCCACGCCGTCGTCAGGACGTACCTGCGGTGAGAGAGACGCCAGCTGACGTCACCGTCCACGCCGTCGTCAGGACGTACCTGCTGTGAGAGAGACGCCAGCTGACGTCACCGTCCACGCCGTCGTCAGGACGTACCTGCTGTGAGAGAGACGCCAGCTGACGTCACCGTCCACGCCGTCGTCAGGACGTACCTGCTGTGAGAGAGACGCCAGCTGACGTCACCGTCCACGCCGTCGTCAGGACGTACCTGCTGTGAGAGAGACGCCAGCTGACGTCACCGTCCACGCCGTCGTCAGGACGTACCTGCTGTGAGAGAGACGCCAGCTGACGTCACCGTCCACGCCGTCGTCAGGACGTACCTGCGGTGAGAGAGACGCCAGCTGACGTCACCGTCCACGCCGTCGTCAGGACGTACCTGCGGTGAGAGAGACGCCAGCTGACGTCGCCGTCCACGCCGTCGTCAGGACGTACCTGCGGTGAGAGAGACGCCAGCTGACGTCACCGTCCACGCCGTCGTCAGGACGTACCTGCTGTGAGAGAGACGCCAGCTGACGTCGCCGTCCACGCCGTCGTCAGGACGTACCTGCGGTGAGAGAGATGCCAGCTGACGTCACCGTCCACGCCGTCGTCAGGACGTACCTGCTGTGAGAGAGACGCCAGCTGACGTCGCCGTCCACGCCGTCGTCAGGACGTACCTGCGGTGAGAGAGACGCCAGCTGACGTCACCGTCCACGCCGTCGTCAGGACGTACCTGCTGTGAGAGAGACGCCAGCCGGTAGCGGCGGCGGCGGCGTCTACGCCGCGGGCTGCCAAGCGGTGCCCTGGCTGAGCTCCGCTTGCCCAGACGGCATTTGGCATCCGCTGGGAATCACGTCGAGATGGCCGACGGATTGTTTGTCCATCTGCTTCGTTTCAAAAGACCCCCACCACCACCATCACCACCCACCATCACCACCACCATCACCACCATCACCACCATCACCATCATCACCATCATCACCACCATCACCACCATCACCATCATCACCATCACCACCACCACCATCACCACCACCATCACCACCACCATCACACCACCACCACCATCATCACCACCATCACCACCATCACCATCATCACCATCACCACCACCACCACCACCATCACCACCACCATCACCACCATCACCATCATCACCATCACCATCACCACCATCCTCACCACCATCACCACCATCACATCATCACCATCACCACCACCACCACCACCATCACCACCACCATCACCACCATCACCACCACCACCATCACCACCACCACCATCACCACCACCACCATCACCACCACCATCACCACCACCACCATCACCACCACCCCCACCACCATCACCACCACCATCACCACCACCATCACCACCACCACCATCACCATCATCACCACCACCTCACCACCACCACATCACCACACCATCACCATCCATCACCAGCCACCATCACCACAGCACCACCACCATCACCACCACCCCCCACCACCATCAGCACCACCACCATCACCACCACCCCCACCACCATCACCACCATCATCACCACCACCACCACCATCATCATCACCACCACCACCATCACCACCATCACCATCATCACCACCATCACCACCATCACCACCATCATCACCACCATCACCACCATCACCATCACCACCATCACCAACCACCACCATCACCACCACCCACCACCATCATCACCACCACCATCACCACCACCACCCACCACCATCACCACCACCATCACCACCACCCACCACCATCACCACACCACCACCATCACCACCATCAACACCCACACCACCATCACCACCATCACCACCCACCACCATCACCACCCACCACCATCACCATCATCACCACCACCACCACCATCACCACCACCATCACCACCACCTTCACCACCTTCACCACCACCATCACCATCATCACCACCACCATCACCACCACCACCACCATCACCACCACCATCACCCACCACCACCACCATCACCACCATCACCACCACCACCCACCACCATCACCCATCACCACCACCATCCCGCCTGTTGAGTTTTTCTATCTGGAAGTTGATACTGAAAATGTTATCGACTATGAGACATCTCCTTTACCAGTGGCAAAAGGTAGTGGTAGGTTTTTACCCTTTCAACTGGTACAACAACTGACACCTTTATACAAGGCATCATGTTTGCAATAACCACGACACAAGCAGTTGTTTCTTTTTGTTTGCATTTTGACTGCTTGTGTTGTGGTTATTGCAAACATGATGCCTTGTATAAAGGTGTTAGTTGTTGTACCAGTTGAAAGGGTAAAAACCCATCACTATGTTATCAACTATGTAAAAGGTGGCAGATTTTTGTTGTTGTACAGATTGGATGTCAGAATAGCCTCGGTCAAATATGATCGAACCCGGGTCGGCGGGTTCATAGTGCAGCGTAGCGCTAACCGCTACCCCACCGCTCCCCACCCACACACAAAGATAAAGATCCCCGTGTAGCCTTAACAGACTGTAGAGGCAAGTGCTGTCAGCGAGCACCTACGAAGGCCGGAACGGCACACGAGGGGGTGGGTGGCCAGCACCACGCCCGACCGCCTTTGTCTCCCCGGTGGTGATGTTTACTACACACCGCACCAGGTTCTCATTTGAGGCTGAGTCGACCTAGGGGAGGCCCTGGACCGGTTCAGATAATCGTCACCGGTGTTGGCCGTGAGCGGGAATCGAACCCGGGTCACCGGGTTCATAGCGCAGCGTAGCGCTAACCGCTACACCACCGCTCCCCACACACGTACACACGTACACACACGTGTGTGTGTGTGTGTGCCTTGTGCGTGAGTGCTCACAGAGGGTGGGAATTGAGACGAGAAAGCAGTGATGGGTCCAATAATTTGGTGACTCGATTTTTGGATTCTCCAGCGAAGCCTGAGAGCCGCCATTGCAATCGGGTGACGATTCAAGTGAAGACGAAGACAACGAGAAGAAAATAAGAATTTTATTGCAACAAAAACAATGACAGCCACCCAGTGCTGCTGTTTTGTTGTTGAAAAATACTCCCAGCACAGCAACGATGAAGTTGCCATCTCAAGTTGCGTTTGTTTTATCTTTTGAATATTTTTTGTATATCACAACATTGAGTCTATATATATATGATTCCTCTAAGCTAAATTGTTCATTCCCAACTACCCGGCAGTTAGCGTGGAGTCAGCTTGTCGCTGCCCGAGTGTGGATTATGCCCGTGGCGGGAGCGGTGATTATGTCGCTTGGCAATTCTGTTCTGAGCGGTTTTTGTTTTGTTTGATCCCAAACGGATCGCAACCCGGGAGGACCTCTTTGACACGCTGTGATATCAGTCTTGCTGAAGTTAACGAATGGACATTTGTTGGTGGGATGTTGAGCAAGATGTGACCTTGCAATCATCACCGACTCACCACACCGACAGAGCCATTCACCATCGACTCGAAATAGTGCGGGTGTAACGTTGACATCAAATCGTTGTGCGGTGGCCTCGGTGGCAAATGCTTTGTCGCTGCTTCGTGCAGTCTTCAGCTACACTGGTAGGAACCTCCTGGTTACACCAGCCCACAGGGGATTATTGTGTCCGTTGTGCAGGGAGGGGCTGGGTGGGGAGGGTGGGGTAGGGCTGGGTGGGGAGGGGCTGGGTGGGGGTGGGGGTGGGAGGGGTAGGGCTGGGTGGGGAGGGGCTGGTCACCCCGAGGTGCCCTTATAAAACTCAACGTTTAATCTACTCACGCCGGCTTGTGCCCGCCCTCACAGTCGGGCATATTTGCGGAATACACCACGCCGCCGTTGACCCTGCAGGCCATTGACCGAGCATCCCAGCGTTCCTACCAGCTCCCTCCGCAGGAATGTGTTTTGAATGATAACAGCAAGACTTGTCATTGTTTTGTTCAAGGGCCAGAGATTTGATTTAGGTTTGAAGCTTTCGTGACTGCTGAAATTACACTTGTTTTTCCGGTAAAGTCTCACGTGTATTAATACAATAAAAATCTCTACGTGCTGTGTGCGTGGTGTCCCCCTGCGTGTTTCCTCGCTGTGCGTTTCACCCCATTTCCACCTGACGATGGGCGCTTGTGTTGTGGTACAAACGTCGTGATTTATTTGAATTTTGTTTATTTAAAGTTGATTTTATTTCTGCACACGTGACTTTACCGAAAAACCACCAATGAGTACAGATTACTCTTTGGTTCTTTCGGTAAAGTGACGTATAAAGATAAAATAATAAATTAAATAATTGCATACGACATTTCGATTGCAACACAAGCAATCGTCATCAGGTATAAAAGAAATAGCAACAAAGAATCTAACCAGAAAACTATAGACAGACATATAAGCAGACAGATATCACAAAGATACACAGAGAGAAGGCAACACAGACACAGAGAGGGAGATCGTCTCTGTGGCGAGGCCTTAAATAGACAGAGGGGGGGCGGGGGCGGAGAGAGGGAGGGGTTAGAGACAAAACATTTACATGTCAATGAGTACGGCGACGCGTGGTAGTAAAGTACTTTAATTTATTATTTTATCTTTATACGTGACTTTACCGAAAGAACCAAAGAGTTATTCCTGCAGTCACGAAAGCTCTAAAATTAAGATTGAGTGCAGATTCTTAGGTTTTTTTCGGCAAAGTCACCATCGGGCCGCTCGCCGAGATGCTGGTGCTGGTGACAACACCCTCCGCCGACCATCGGGTGAGGTAATGCTAACCCCCCACCCGGAGTTGGCAAAACGGTACGGGGTGGTGGGCTCAGCCACGTTGGTAAACGCGGATGGGTGCCGATTGTTTATGCGGATGTTTCACCCTCACAGTACCCCGGCGATACTGCCACCGTGCACCCCCTGCACGCACGCCACTCTGACGACTCGGTGTTCGGTGACCAGGACCTGGCCTGGCGAGTCGGCCCGACTCCCCGAGCCGAGGTTGTTCCCCTGCCCGACGCGTTACACGTACCTTGGGCAGATATACCTAAGGGAGAGGCCGATCGGTTGCAGGAGTATGCCGCCGTGTTCAGTGAACACGGCTCGGACGTGGGTCGGACCGATCTCGTTAAGCACCA